TTATTAGAGTGCCAGGTACACGCTCCCCGAGGACCACAACGTGAGCAGCTACGTGATGGACTTCCGCCAGCGGTCGGTCGGGCGGGGCAACCGGGCCATCTTCGAGAACCTGCTGGAGTGGTTCCAGATGCCGCGCGACTTCGCCGAGTGCCTCTGGATGAGCCAGCTCACGCAGGCGCTCTGCATCCAGTTTGCGGCGGAGCACCTGCGCAGACAACAGCCCCAAACTGAAGGCGAGCGGGTTTGTCCGGTGTCCTACTGGTCATCGTTCAAGGTGTTGGCTCGTTTGTCTAGTAGAGTTAGCTGGTGACTACCTCTTCTTGCCGTGATCCTGTGTATACGTCTGACGATGTTTAGAACAATCGAGGATCCCACAATCCGTCCTTGAGGTATACTTTGTGAGCACCAGAGCTTCTCGTGTCTGCTTGACTCAAGCTAAAGTAAAGACTGATTTAAGGGGAGAGCAAAGAAAGCCGGGGAGATCCCGACATAAGTTCGAATCAGCAGTTCGCGCATTGACGTTGTGTCGGTTTACCAATCCCCGACCATTCGACTTCCCTGTGATTAAGGAGTGCCTTGCCTGTGCGTACTGTTCACTCCACAAAAAGATTCTGAAACTTACCATGAAGATGTTCCTGCGAAGCTTAAAAAACCGTAGCTCCTTGGCTGTCTTACTAGATGCTCATCGGGCTAGCTCAGACTTTTCTCGAAATTTGAGAACTAGAGAGGTCCCAACACAAAAGTCTCCATGGGCTGCAGGCGTGCTGTACTGGCAGCTCAACGACGAATGGCCGGCGCCCACGTGGAGCTCCCTGGACTACCGCGGCCGCTGGAAGGCGCTGCACTACTTTGCCCGGCGCTTCTTCTCCCGGGTGCTGATCACCGGGCTCGAAGACGTCGCCAAAGGAACCGTAGAAGTCCACCTGTCCAACCACGAGCTGATCCCGGTGTCGGGCGAGGTGCGCTGTTACATCGTTCCATCTTCTGTCAACGTTATGCAAGACTTTCACAGATTTTTGCAGACTTCAAAGAGTGCTCTGGATGTTCTTTCAATCAGGATTCTTGCTGGGTCCTAGTCACCGGGCTCGAGGACGCTTCTAAGGCCGTTAACGTGCACTCTCTAAACATGAGCTGATCTAAAAAATTGGCGCGATTTCTTGGCTGCTTGCTAAGCGTCCGTATTAACTGGTAGATCTGATAATCTCCGGGCTCAAATTGTTCGAAGGGCACTGTTGTTGGTTTGTATGCTGCTTCGTAAACTCTGCTTTATACCAGTGTCCATACTCATATTGATATTTGACTGTTCTTTTTCAGAGACCATGTATCGCTTGCCAGGCTGCCCATGCCTTTCGAGAGCGTCATCCTCTACGTTTAAGTAGCCTTCTATGCAGCAAAATGCCCCGCAATCCTCGTCCTTCGCACCAATCGTCTTGAGAACAGCGAGAACGAGTACAATACAGCAGCCTACGGCTCGTCATCAGATCACGAACACAAATAACCTCCTCGTAAACGCAAAACCACACATCTCCTCAGGTGACGTGGCGCCTGACTGACGCTGCCGGGACGGAGCTGAAAAGCGGCAGCGAAACCGTCACCGACGCGCCTTCCCAGGCCAATGCTTGCGTCACGACTCTCGATTTTTCGGCGGCACTCGCGAAGTACGGCCCCCGTGACCTGCTGGTCTGGCTGGAGTGGCGGGACCGGCGCGAACAGGCCCGGGAGCTGTGGAGACACGTGGCGGACGTGGGAGAGTCGTACGCGTCCAGGTGAGAGGGCGGGTTCAGAGTGGTGTGAGTGCGATGGACGAGTCAAGCATGCCGGGGTAAATGGATAGTTTTGCCGGTGGTTTCTTCAGGCCGACGAGAAGCCGTCGTGATCGGTGATGGCCACACGCGCCTTGCGGACTTCGACTTTAGGCACGGCATCTGTCGGTTAGTTTCTGTCGATTTCAGCGGTTCGGCAATGGTTGTCCAACTTCGTCTTTTTGTCTTGAGGCGGGCTGCGAGCATCTGCGACCTTTTAAGCACGTGCGCGAGGCATATTTGTCTCCTGCTTTTCATTGTAGCACTCAGAGGCTTCTCGTCTTCCACTTTCAAATCGAGTCTCCCCTCGCACTGCTGTGGCAAGGGTTGAGTTCTCTGCAAGCGCGCAGGTTTTCCTAGTCCTTTTGGAAGGACCTTGACACGACTCCTCCGTTAAGGCGCTCTCAAACGAAGTCCCGATTATGATGGATATCGTCCGAGATTAGCACCAGAGTTTTGACTGCGAGCTTAATCAAATTTCCCATCCCCGACAGGAACCTGGTCCTTTTCGCGCGCCCCAAGCATCTGAAGCTGCTCAAGGACCCAAAGATCACCGTCAAAGTGGAGTCCGCAGCGTCAGACGGGTCGCTTCTCCTAACGCTCAACTCGGAGCATCCGGCGCTCTGGGTCCGACTCGAGATTGATGACACCAAGCTGCCGCCCCTAGTGACCGACAGGGATGACCGGCCGAAACTGCCTGGTACGCCAGACAGAGGCGCCAAGATAGAGGCAGCGGCTACGGAGGAGCGGGAAAAGGACGAGGATATCGTTTTGTTTGAGGATAACTTCTTCCACTTGGACGGGCGCGAACCAGTGACAACTCTGTACAGAGGCAGATTGACCCGGGAGGTGGTTACACGTGCGCTCAAAGCAACGGCGGTGAACATGACTTGGGACCCTTAGGATGTGAATACTAGGAGTAGGTTGTCACTGAGAGGTGACTATGTACATGGACGCGCGGCAACGGCAGCTCGGTAACATAGTCGGATGTACAGCACTTTAGCTCGACGGTTAATCAGAAGTTGCAAAGCAACATGCGGAATGTATATCAGCTAATATACGAGACATTAGCGAGGAAAGTCATCAACTGGTAGGCCGGGAATCAGCCAGATTTCGACCGATCACCTCACTTGATAGGCTGCGTGCTAAGATACGGCCGAACATGCGATCACACGGCCGTTACTTCCAGGCTGCGGGCGTCGGTGCTCAGCTTGCATCATTGAGACGGCGGTAGCTGTCACCAATTACCCGCTTGACCTTTTAATATTGCTGCAGCTGGGACGCTTTGTACTGAGGTGGCCGGGATTGAGATTTTTGCCTTGATCATCGGATCGGTGTGTACCGTCTCATATGCCGCATGGAAATTCATAGAAAAGTGTTTCATGACCTTATAATTTGAATGGCCACCGTGCATGCAGTGGATCGATCAGATCTATGCATTGTCGCATGTACCAACTTTCGCAGATCGATCAAGTCAATTTCTAATCTGATTGAAAAAATTCGTTTGATGCACACGCGCGAATCTCCATGGCACCTGCAGCTGCTGCCCCGCGCGGCCCTGTATAGCTTTCTGACCGTAACCTTCCTAATTAATGTCATAATGACGTTCATTCGAGAAAATCTGCACGTTACTCCTTACTGTGCAACTATACGGTATAAAGATTTTGTTAGAACTACAGCTTGTACGCAATCCACGATTCGTCTGTGCATCTAATAGCGCCTTATGTACGTTGGCAGCACATGACAAATTCTAGCTCGTCTGTACATGATATTGCATATCCACATACCTACGTGTTGCTCTTCAGGTTGCATCATAGCTAGCTCACCCAGGGCACCGCAACAGATGAATTGATACGGTCCAATGCCAAATTGTCAAGATCGTCAACAAATCCACTGCTAGGTTGAAATCCAAAAGAGATCTCCAATTATTGTAGTGCAACCTGATTCGAAACCGTCAAGTCAGTCAACTGACACCAGCCTTCTTTCCAACTCGTTTCTTTACGGTGTGCGGTTATATCCTCAGCAGGAACTTACTTGTACTACTCGCCTGACTCTGATGGAGGACTCTGGTCAAATTACTCGTTTTTGGAGGCCGGCAAGCAGATAAAGGTACGAATGAAGGCGTGCGTCTCAATAACGTAGTCAAAGATAGGAAGATCCTGTGCAAGCAGCGGTCTGCGATTAGTTGTTCGAGTAATCAGGGCGAGTATTCAGGGGTTGCCCCTGTTCTTGCAAGTGGCCCGCACATCATTCTCAGAAAAGGACGGCGTTTTGCAGCATGCCTAGCTGGGCAGATGTGTTCACCGCCCAGAAGCTTACGACTCTTAACTCCTCTTCGAGACGCTTCAGAAGGTCCATCGAGTCAGCGCAGATGCGTGTAACGGCTGCGTACTTATTTTTGACAGAAATCGTATGCATTTGTTTGGTTAAAGAGGTTGTAGATTCCGTTCACAAACTTTCGACCAACCAAAAAGAGCAGGAAAGCCCCGGCCGGCGACCCTTGACCTTTGAGAGTCACTTCACGGGTCGCCCACGGCGGGTACTGAAGCACACAATTGGCCAACGTACTAGAAGCAGCTCGAGAGTTTGGACACAGACTCGCCCCGTTTCGTTTGCAGGGAAGCCCTCAAGTACGGGAAGACCCCTGCCGGAAAGCGAGTGGATGTCGCCAAGGTGCGGCAACTTCAATCGCTAGGGTGAGTTGGATGCGTTATTCGGTGTCTGCGTTTGCTACTCCGTTTTAAACCCCTCTTTGAACGTGCTGACAAGAGGCGGCTAATCAGCGGTTTGTGCTTTACGCGAAGCTGCGCACGAACTTTTCAACGATTGTAAAGGGACTCTCGATCGGTTCGAAGTCGGGCGCACGCTTTGCATATCGATTGCCAGCCACCTGTTTCGTCGGGTGCATACTTCTAATCTTGCATTGGATGTTCCGCTCTTCTTCTATTCTCTCTGGTTCAATCCGCGCCTCGCGAGGGCTCCCCAGCCACTTACCTCAAGGCGTGGTTTTGGAAGATACTCCGTGTTGCATGCTCCTCTGAAATTAACGAAGAAGAAATGGATCCGTTAGGTACTTTGCCTTCTCTCTGGTCACGACGCCGCTCTCGCCTGGGACCCCTCGACCAATCGTAGGACAACCATAATGTACCCCCATAATGCCCGTTGGCAAATGAGCATTCTTCTGCAGATTGAACGGCCGATAACCACCGCAACAAACTTGAACACCATACGAAGATCTGCTTCTCGCGCTGTACTTACGACCCCGCTCTCGCCGGCGAAATTATTCATCATTCAAAGAACAACCTCAACGCACTTACATCACTCCCAAGGATTGCTTTCCGGTATGTCCTTCGGTCGGAGACCAGCGCTGAAACTTGAGAAACCCATATGAAAACCTGCTCTCGCTCTAGTTACAACCCCGCTCTCGCCGGAGAGGCCCTCCGCCAGTTCGAGAACGATCTCGACGCAGCCCTCTTTGATCGCCCGTGTTACTCTTGACCCCGATCAAATTTCCTCGTGTTCCTGCCCCGAGATTCAGCTATAAGTTTGTATGTAAACCGCTGGTTTTCTCCCCTTCCTAGTTACGACCCCGCTCTCGCCGGCGAGGCCCTCCGCCAGTCGGAGAACGACCTCAACGTTTCGCTCAATGCGCTGGTGGACCCTGAGGCCAACACCGCGCTCCAGGTTCTGCTGGACCAACGGAACGACAGCAAGCGGAAGCGGAACCGGGAGGAGGCGGAAGTGGACGGACAAGCGCTGGAGGAGATCGTGGCAATGGGCTTCGACCGCTCCATCGGTGAGCGCCCACTTTGAGCTGACGTTATCACCTCTGAATCTCACAATCACCTAATTCGTTGCTTTTTGACCTCCTTAGGCGCCCGTTCGTTGATCCGCCTTCCCTCTAATCTTACTTACAGACCGTCGCCTCCTAAAACGATGGCACATTCCGCCAGGTTCCGAATTCGTCCTCAGTGTTAACCTCGTTGTCTGTCATGCCCTATCTGTTCAACGTGTGATTATCACTTCTCTTCTTGAGCTCGTTGTCAGTATCTAAACCGTCCGAAATCTGGTGGACCGCTCCTGATTCACGCATCGCTAAAATCTCCTAAACTCGCTTGGAGATGTTCGCCCGTGCTGCAGCGACTTTCAAATCTCTCCTACGTTTTTCCTGCCCATCGCAGCTACCGAAGCCCTGAAACAGAGCTTCAACAACAAAAGCGCGGCACTGGAGAAGCTCCTTCAGGGTGAGGTCACCCTGCCAGCCCCTTCGGACGCCGGCCCAAGCACGTCGCACCAAAACGCCGACGGAGGGGCGACAAATGGTTCCACCGACTTCGGTGCGACTGGCCAGGCAGATGTCGGCGTTAATGGGCTCGGAGATGCCGGTGTGAATGACCCTGGTGCCCAAGATGAACCAGAGGAGCGGCGAGACGCGGAAATGGAGGACGAGATTGTGGAGGGGGTCACGGGGGATCCCCTTGCGCAATATGACGTGGACGTCAGTAAGGAGGGGGAAGTAATCCAGGAGTATCTGGCGCTATTGGAAAGCGCGGCGGCCCAAGCAGCTGGATAACGTGCCATATCTGGTCAGTGAATCGTAAAATGTACATACTGTGGACAACCAGCCCCTGCTTGCCAGCTAATCTGCTAGCACTGAGGCAAAATGGACAATCTACACTGTTTGTATTAGTGTCTCCGGGAATTTTCCTGTGTAAACGCCCTTCTGTGCCGCGACCATAAATGATCAGGTCCATGAAGCTGGCCGGTCGGTACCACAACTGCACAACGATCCTCCGGGCACTTGTCATTGCCGGCCAGGTAGCCGAACCTGCCTGTGTCAACCAGGTTAAAGCTAATACGGTGTCCGGTGACTGTGACTGTGACAGTGTGACTGTGACTGTGACTGTGACTGTGACTGTGACTGTGACTGTGACTGACCGTAACTGTGGCGCTTTTAACCTGCCGTAAACCAATGGTGGCTCATACTGTGTCTCTTGACACCGACCACATAGGCAACTAGACTGTGACTGTTACTGTGACTGTTACTGTGACTGTGACTGTGTCTGTGCAGTGTACGTGACCGGAAAGGTTGAAAGGTCCCCGGGAAGTAGCCCGGCCGGTACCATGCCGGTGCCCGGTCAAAGAGGACCGGAGTCTCGCATGTTCAAGCAAATAGATATCGCTCTGACACATGTTAGACCAGTAACCAATGCCTGCACAGATTAACGCCATGTGAGAGTATTCACTCTGACAAATCGACCGGAGACACTAATACAAATAGTGTAGATTGTCCTACTTGCAGCACTGAGCACTAAGTTTGATGTCTGTCGGACCTCAATTTGACGTACGTCTTTATTTGCTAAATGAGTCTTTAAGTGATTGTACATTGACGAAACATGTGCTGTCCAGCATCATACTGCCATATTGGTATCAGTTCGCGACATGTAGCTAGGATGAACTTCAATTCTGCAGTTAGCCCCTGCTCTGCCAGCATCTTGGTAGCCTGCTCTGTGTGGTAGTGTGCTGGCATGCAGGCTTATGTGCATCTTTCAAGATCCGCTAAATGCGCAGGCGCAGGAGTTTTCGGTCACTGCGCGCGTGGGCTGTTTTTTATGCGCTGCAGCATTCAGCTGTATTCAATCAGTAAACCTTTGTGCATTGCACGTTATCGGGGCCGCTCACTTTCTCGGCGCGCTAGCTCCGACAGCCAACATCCAAAAGGCGACGGTGACATGCCCTCAGACTCAGTTACAAGGAATCATTGCAAGCGATATCCTTGCACATAACATGGAGCCTAACAATGGGTTTTGATGCCGGATGATGGATCAACGACGCCTTGATCGTGGGATCGGGTTTGATCTTAGATTGCACGGGTGATTGCACTGAAAATCTGAGCTTGATCTGCTGCAAGAGTGGAAAACCCAACTATGAACACTGACAAGGGTGCTGGACCGCCTTCACGCTTTCTCGCGAGGCCGCTCAGCAAACTCTCTGGAGACAAAACTGGATTCAAACTAAGCACCCACGGACCTGCTCTTGATTACCAAAAAGGCGCTTCCTACGGTAGTAAGCACAACATATGCACAGCATATCGCTTCCCTCTTCTGCGCCGACCGTCCCCTGCCGGCTTACGAGCTTCGTAAGCTTCCTTTCAAGCAAGGCGATTCCGGACCGTGACTAGATGTCAGGAAAGGCCGCGCAGAGTGAGAAGCTTTCAAGACACAAGCAGCGGTAGCGGTCACTGGTAACAGTTCCGTGTCTCTCGCGTCTAGTTGCCCCTACTCGGAGATGCGGACCTCAACCCCCATCAGGTCCTTCATCATTTCGTACGTGACGAATGCAATGGCAATGGACGGCACAACCTGCACGATGAGAAGGAACTGAGACCCAGCTACAAAGAGCTCAATCTCCCATAGGAGCCACGGTATGTTAAACCAATTCCTTTGGCAATTATGAGTACTACGAAATCTCAAAACGCTCTCAAAGAGAGGGCCCAGATCATTTCCTTGAAAGTCCTCCAACAGCGGTTTGGACAAAACTGTGTTCTTTCTGACGTTTAAGCTGGCGTTTTCATTTGGTGACTGGAAGCAGTAGCTTCCAGGGATTGGCTTCGACTAGTCCGAGAACCAGGCGAAATGAGTACTTCTCGCATATGGTTATGGGTGTGCTAGTACCGGTTATGGTCGGAACATTAGTCCTGCGAAAACAGGTTGTACAATGATCTTCGTTCATTCTTCAGACGACAACGTAGGCTTTAGAGAACGAGAACTCCCATCACGGCGTTCAGATTGGCACAGCTTCCTTCAACCTTGTGCAGCATCAGATTGCAACTGACCCGTAATCCAGCTGACCCGTCCTCTTTGCATGAGATCCGCAGATCATCTCATTCAGCCTGGTCTACTTTTCCTCATGCCTAAAAAGGCTACGTTGCACCAAGTGGGCACTCACATAAGATATAGAAGGTTGCCTTATCCGCGTTTCCAGCATTGTCTTCCAGGAACGTTGGCTGCATTCCTCGCACCTTAAAGAGCAATACCAGAAGATAGAACCGGGAACGGCGACCCACCTTGAGCGAGTTGGGCACGAGGCCCTTGTACAGCGCGCGCACGCCCTCGTGCTTCACCGTCAGCCGGAACGTGTCCACCATGCCGGGCTTCTTCAGCGCTGCCGCCTGCAACGGCCAAACGAACATTTGCAACCGTGCAGAAGCTTTGGTTCTCAGGATTGAATGGAATTGATTAATTGGGCAGCCCAGTGTGGTTCTGGATGACTCGAACAGAATGACAAAAGTCGGTCTATTCCCGGGCACTTTTTACAAGGATATTCAAATTACTACAGCCCTCAATCCCCAAACCCCCAACTCGACAAAGAACGAGCAGAAGAAGAGAAACACATGTCAGAAAAGTTAGTAAACTCAAAAGATACATGGGCTGCTCTTTTTCAACACTTCATGTGAAGATCGGTGGTTTCAAATACAATGATCCTTTTCTTATCGTACTCATTCAATCATTCTATGAATTTCTTTATGCTACATAAAATCGCGCCGGCCCCACCTCCTCGTGGAACACCCCCTGCGCGTCCGCGTCCCGCCAACCAATCATTTGCATTCTCCGCCGCACCACGTCGAGGGGGTACGCCACAGTCTGGCCCACAGTCCCGGCCGCCGCCCCACACGCGAGCTTCGTCACGACGCTGAGGTCAGCGGTCGGGTCGGGGCGCGCCTTTTGGACCCAGTCCTTGAGGGTCTCGTAAACAGCAAAGTTGAGGCCCACGTAGGGCACCTGAAAAGGACGAGCACTCAATGTGAGGGGTTGCTGTTGGAGTTGCTTGGGACCGTTAAGACCCGCGCACCGGTCTTTACTTCTTACAAGTGATGGGGTTGGAAACTAGTGCGACGATCGAAACGACAAGGCAGATCAGGGAGGCCCAGAGTGCCACTGCACACGGGCGGATGTCAGACCCAATTTGAGGAAGTACAGCTGTCAACCATTCACCGGAGCTTAGGCAGCTTGTTACAGAAAGAGCTCCTGACAGAGGGAAGAGTCGCTTAACACAAGACTGAATAAGAATAGAGCGAAGAAGAAAGCAAGAAGCACAAAAAAGGAACAATGCAGCTAGCCTTTTTCGCATTGATCGTCCTTTACACACTCTTTAGCTCTGCTGCTTTCGCTGCTACCCTACCCAACAATTTTGATGCGAACAACAGCCTCAGAACACAAGAGAGCTTCTCCTGAGTCGCTCACCACTCCAATGACCGAGGGCAGCCACCCTTTGTACAGAGCCCTCGGCCCCTCCTCCTTGGCCACTGTTGTCATCGCGTGCAACATACCTTTGTACCGCTGGTTCGGGCCGTTTACCTGCACAAAATCGGCGGTTAAGACAAAGGCTCAAAACTGCGCTCAAGGGAAGACTCAAAGCGGACAGCGACGACCATTTGAGCCGTTCAACTGCAAAGAAGCATTGGGGTTCAGTTTAGGGCTCTCGGGCACCAAAGCGCAAATGGCCCAGAAACCAGTTGACGCGCTCCTCGAATCATTGCCATAAGATTGCAAAGGGGTCACATGGGTTCTGCTAACGTCTTAAACACGATCAGGGAAGGGATGTAAGACTGCTCGGGTCAGGGAAGGGATGTAAGACCGCTAGGATCCGCAGATTTGAGAGGGACGAAACGGTGAGTTGGGGCTACCCTGCGACTCAAGGGCGTAAAAGGGTAGTCGAAAACCGTGGTAAACGGATTCCGATCGAATGACTGCCTCTTGGAGCCGTCTCTGTTCGTCAAGAAAGGAGCACAAAAACGGCTCAGGAACGCCGGAGCGCACCGGGACGCCTTTGACAGAAGGAAAAGGTGGATCCTTGTCGACCGATTCCTCTTCTTGTGAATCCACAGCGAGTTGACGAGCAAACGGCTAAAGTTAACTATGAACGGCGCCTCAACGCAAGATACGAAGCAGATAAGCAGATTTTTGTCATTTCCATTGCTCTTCTGTCAGACAGAGCAACTGAGCAACTTTCGCAGCAGCTTCGCTGAGTTATGGGACACCATGCTTTGGGCGGACAAACAACCGAGTTGGCGTTGCCTGAAGGCAAAGGCTCGAGTTTCGGAAAAGAAGAGAAAATCAGTGAAGAAAGCCCAAGGGATACACGCAGAAGCGGCTGAGGAGAAATGCTTTACAGGTCAGACGAAGGGTTTTGGTCCGGAGAAGTGCGCATGGAAATCAGCAACTTCCATTGTGCGAAGGTGTAGATGCGCAAGAAAGCCACTCTCCGTTCAGCACCTCTGAGCGGTAAGCATCCAGCGAACTACAGCAAAACGACTGCATTTGTTGCCGAGCAAGCGGATCAGAAACAGCCTCACGTTGACCACATGGGTGTTCGGATTGGTAACGGGTGTGTGATTGTTTTTCATCCTTTCCGCTTGCTTGCATCAGAATTCCTCAACCAACCCACCGAAGACACATATCGAAGATGAAAGAGCCAAAGCCAAAGGATTGTGTGGTAAAACGATAAAACAGAACTTCGGTAAAGTGTGACGCCCAGGTTTATCACAGAGACTTCGAAAATGTACCTCCCTCCGCGTAGACCAAGCTGAGCGGATGTCACAAGCGGGCAGTTGGCATCCTGGTATTACAACAGAATCCAAATGATGTGGTCTCACATCCACTAAGGAAATCAGAAAGCTTGAATGCGAACTCCGAACCAATGAGAACGCCACGGTGATAGAATAAAAAGCGCACTGTAAAGGCCTTGTAGGGGTTCGAGCTAGGGAAATAGTGAAGCCAAGTGCATCTGGACAGAGGAAACAAAACAGTCTTCCTTCAAAGCCAAGCTTAGCAAAGGAGGCACAGCTGAACAAGAATGGCCTCACCTGGACTGTCAGTCTCCCCCGGACCATGTCCATCGGATACGTGGCTGACATCGCAATGATGCCAGCTGTCGCCCCCGCGGCTAGCCGCAACAGGGGCGTAAGTTCCGCATCTGCACCCAGGAGCGAGGTTAATTGGGTGAAACAGCGGACTCACCACAGAGACAGACGAAAATGTGACCGGCAAAAAGCAGTCGGTCCGGTCATAGTTGCGTAGTTCGAAAAACCCCAACCGCAGCTTTTCACACAGGATGTCAGCATTGCATTCTGCAGCATCATCCGCCTTTGCTCTCTGTCACCCTGAGACGTTTCAGAATGTCCAGTTCCCTTCTAAAGAAGTGCAATCAACTGTACCACAACACTCAACATCGATCCTCGTTACGAAAAGCAATGATCAAACACCGACTTCCTCCACTTAAGTGGTCCGGTGACTGCCGTTTGCTGACATCAGCGGGGCAGGTTTTGAGGCAGCTCACCTGGCTGTCCCCCGTGGTTCCGCAGAGCCCAGAGGAATGCGCTGCAGGAAGTGGAAAATTGAGGCATCAGAATGGGGACCATGGAGCACCCTTTGAAAGTTTCGTAATTTTAACCAAGTTGTTGTACCGCCCTTGCCTCACTCATCTCTGTGAAAAGGAGGATTCTAGAACAGAAACGAATCCCTGTCTGCGCAGGCTCACGCTATAGCTCATGCTGGGCTCGTACAAGTGTGTCATGCGGCCTCACTCCAAGCTTCCCCACTGATTTGCCTCGAGGCAGGCACAATCACCACAACCAATCAATGCGCAGAGCTCGATTGAAATATCATTGATGAGCACCCAGTCCCCACCGCAACCGCCCCGTCGAGCCAGGTACTTTCTGAGGTCCAACATGCTCCCAAAATCACTCATCACTTATGCACCCTGTTCAGTCTGCCAACCCAGCGCTGGCGTCGGATACTGTGCAGAAGGGTGTTTACTCACTGTGACGCCTGCTCGTATGCGTAGAACTTGACCGCCGAGTTAGGAATGATGCGCATGCAGTTGGTGCCATTGCCCTTGAAGAACCCCCGCAGGCCCTCCGTTTGGAAGATGGTCCGCAGCCCACTCAGCGTGCCATTGTACTTGGGCTTCAACGGGTCTTGCACCTGCCGGACCCAAATGCAGCGGTTCAGATGAAGTCTAGAGATCTCTGTCGCAACTTTGAGTTGTGTTTAACGACTGCTGCTGAGCGACCAACATACATGGGCTGCAGCGGTCTTGCACCTGCGGGATCCACAAGCAGCGGTTGGGAGGGGGTGTTGATTTCATGAAACTTCTGTTGCGGCTCTGGGCCTGATTGAGAAATGTATGCTCCCTGATCGACCAACGCACGTGGTTTTTGAGAGGTCATGTACCTGCAGAGCCACTTCCAGAACCTGAGTTCTAAGAATCCTGAATTAATTACTTGAACAAGAATTAGAACCTTGAACTCATTTGGTTAAGGCCATGTGTGCCGCTTTTATCAGTCCACCGGAAGCGATGTCTTCTGGGTTGTGAGGCGAGGCAGGAGTTTTCCCAAGAGGGCATGCCACAAAATGCTGCACTGATCCTACTTATGAGCTTGGCAGAACTAATTTCGGCCACAAGAGCCGAATACTAAGATTAGCTACCGGTACGCTCTAATTGAAGTCCACAATTTAGACATCGCGCTCTACGTGCAAGAAAAAGCTCACAAATCTACAGCTGTCAGATCTAAACTTACTACTCCTGACAAGATAAGCAGATCTCTTTGAGGGGAGGAGCACGGGATCAAATCTCTGCAATTCCACCACCAAGCTGCGGCAAAGTTGGGGTTTACTGATGCAAAACTTCCAGCATCTGTGAGATTGTTGGGGAGACACATCCGCCTCAAGTGCTAAAACTTCTCGTACCGTGTCGCTTCTGAAACGGACGGCCTTTGCAGATTGGTACTTAAATTGACGAACAGTCAAACCCGGATGGTTGCTGAACGACACAGATTGCCACCACCTGACGTCAAAAAAGGGCAGCCACCTGGTGCGCAAAACAATGCTTCGGGATCTCGGCGCAAAAATGACACCCAGTTATGTGTTGCGCACCATGATGGTGATACCCAAAAATCCCAGCACAAAATTTGCCTTACCTGCTGCAAAATCTTCAGTCTCTCGAGCGGGGCTACCGCAGACCGTGACCTGTGGGGAGAAGGATGTAGATAAGTCGGGCGTAAAGTTTCTGACCTACTGAAAGTTTGCTGAAAAGTCCAGGTTCACAGAAGCAGATGCTGTCCTCTCTATTCCAGCGACAAACACATGTGTAGCTCCACAAATACTAATCAAAACAGGCTGGAAGAACTTTGGCTTTCAACATCCGTCGGCATCAACACCTGTACGAGCCAGACTCAAAGCAAGGGACGTCAATGCTGAGCAATCTGAACTTCCAAAAGAGATGGAAAACCTGTTCTATCAGGCAATACGTCGCGGATTGCAATGTTTGACAGTATGCCAGCCTGACTGAACAAGCGCTGATTTGAAATGCAATCCATTACCATCTTCAACAAAGCAAGGTGAGATGGACAACCACTCAGTGTGTCCGAATCCAGAACCAGCTGCGAGGCACCTAACTCTAATGCGGATTCCAACATTTTCGGTTACACATACAACTTTGTTTTGTAATGCCACAGACCATCAGTCGTCCAAAACCACACAAGATTTGAGCAAAGAAGGTACACCAGAACGGCTCATTCACCACCCTTGCAACCACCCTTTGGGCCGAGGCGCAGCTATGTTGCGCCAACATTGAGGCACAAATCAAATCCCGAAAAGAACATTGGCTTCAAACAAACCAGAATGAATGGCAGGCACTCACACTCCGCCAGCAATGCCTCCCGCCAGCAGCGATTTGCACACGGTTGCAATTCCTAGTGTGGGAGCCTTTGCTTTCTCGGTCGCTGCCTGCGCCTGCGCCGCAAACTGCTGCGCCCCCGCTGACTGCGGAATCTCTAGGGCCGCCGCGTCGCAGTGCGCGGCCCCTAGCCTTGGGGACTCATTACCAACAAGGTGCGGGGGTTTTTCACTGCTGAGGGGCCCTTGCGCCGGGGTGCGGAAGGAGGGAACCGCGGTTTCAGACATGGAAACGAGCCCTCTGGCTGCGAAGGTTTTTGACAGGGAGAGTCAGGGCTTACTCTAGAGGAGGCTAACCAGCAACAGGCCTGTAGCAGCAGGCCATGATTGCCGGCCACCTAGGAGGATAGCCCCCCTGCCTGGATTCGATGCAGGCTCTCCTCTAGAGCCTTCTACTGGTGTCTCCACGTTACTATCCCTGTCAATTGCTAAACCAGCAAACCGCACTTTTGCTAAGGCTGTCCTTGCACGGTAGTCTGCTTCAAATTCGGATTACACAAGGTGGTGCTTCGTATTCCCCTACTTCACTCTTTGCGGTTCACACACCAAGTGTCAGCTTTACCTAGCGGTGCAAACAGAAGTTTGTCTGCTACATCCAATAAGATTCATGCAAGTCCTCCGGAAGTCTCGCAAACCAACAGCTCAATGGGACCAGAAAGAGAAAGAAGAACGCTACTAGTACTGGCAATACACGCCAACAGCACCTCTCCCTACGCTCTACTAAACCCTTCAGAACGAAGGGTAGCCCTTTCAAGTTTCAACTTCAATGCGCTTCTCCAGAGGAACTTCAGCTGGCTGCGAATGACCCACAATGACATTGTCATGATGCGCAGCGGCAGAGCCCAGGCTTCTATTCCAGGCGCTGTAGAAACTGCTGACATCATCACCAGGCTTGAGCCTACGGTACAAACCTGGCCATGCATAAGCTGGTAGAGGTCTGTACCTTATGCATGTGGTACCGTCCGCAGAGTCTTCGGACGAGTAAGCTTCTGCATGTGGACAGTCCGGATGGCTTGCGGACGTGTAGGACCAAACCTCGAGTTCCAAAAGCGGGCGCGGCCCGGCCGCGGCTGGTCGCGAACATGGCCCCGCCACGGCGACAACTATGTATTGGATCTCCTCCTGCGGACCTCAGCCTACGTACTGGACATTAGGTAAGAAAATAGGAAATCAAGCTCAAGAAAGGGGCCCCGAAAAGAGCAGATACAGCCGCCTATCCACGGATAGATCAGAATGCGGAGATGCACCATTGTGCCTGTCGGTGACTGCCAGTTCGTCCCCGGTTCGTCAAAATGTGTGATAAGCTGGTAGTAGCTGCCGTTCTGGTTTTCTGGGAGGCCCGGAAATGTGGCAGCGTTTACTGGAACCTCTGCAGGAGTATCAGGAATTGAAGCAACGGAGCAGAGGTGTCGCAAAGAGCTGGAGGCTACAACCAGCACGTTTGTCCAAAAGCTTGCGGACGCACGTGTGAAGACATTGGAAAGTGCTACAAAGGAGCTCCTGGATTTGGCGCAAAATGACAGGATGTGAAGAATAAGAAGGCTGCATGGAACGTCTCGTACGAGCGGCTGCTGGATCGGCATGAAAGCTTAGGAACCTTTCGGGCACTGTACAGCGATATCTCTATATCTTCATGAGTGGGAAAGGGACATTTCCTTTGATCACCAAGGGGGCACTAAGGCTCGCAGAAACAGGTGTGTGCAAGTTAGCGGCACTTAGGTATCAATTTGGGCAGGCACTGCCTTATTGAAAGACAAAGTCGACACAATATCCCCCTTCAGGCCTCCTCACTTCTGACACCAAGTTTTTGTGGGTCCCAAGTCCGTGCTCGACTCCTCCTCAAACAGTATGGGGATCACGCTTCTGAGTACAATCTTAGCCAACGTTATTCGACGCGTCCTTCATGCCTGCTCTGCTCTTTCTAGAGTCGAGCGATCCGCCGGTGGATTTTGTGAGCAGCGATGATGGCCAGGCCCTGATATAGCAGGCTCTGCAGCGCATGGTTGAGCCCAACTCTCTTAGCTCGTTTGAGTGTTCCCATAGACTGTTACCAAGGATTTTGAGAGAGCCATCTGGCTATCTTCAGCGGATTGTTTCCTTAGGATGTGCGGCCAAAGCGGAAAAAGCGGCACACTTATTGACGGCCTGGAAGAGCGGTCGAGTCTTGCTGGGCTTGCCAGCCCCTCTGCAGCTTGCAAGAACTGAAGCGCGTTTCATGCAGAGAGTTTAGCAGCGCGGTGTTTGATTCCTGCTTTCTTGGACTCTGACCCATCGTCCGTACCATTGACCTGTCACAAGCATTCAAGCCTCAGCATGAGCATTAAATGCAGTGCAGGAGTCCGCCAAGGTCCTCCGTTTGATCATGATCCAGTGCGTTGCCAATGTTGCTTCTAACAGGCGCATGTGTTGTGGCTCATGTCACTTCTAAGGTTGCACTGATCATCTGCCTAGCTAGCTAGTGTGCTTCTTTCAAGCCCAGGCCGGCTCCGCGTACAGCTTGCATGCAGTCTCTTTTTTGGTTTTGTAAACCGCCGCGCTTCATTTCCGCCCTTTTGGGAAAAGATGGCCAATTTACAGAGTGCCTATATGGGTGTGACTTTGCAGTCGAGCGTGTTCAAACCGCAACGAGAATATGAATGAAGGGCACAGAATAATGCCGTATCAGTGATATATCACACGTCACCACAGCCTGAGGCGGCCGTCTTAAGCCTAGGCATCCTAGGACGATCGATCCGTGCAAAATTGACAACACGTCGATCAATTGATTGCCATGACGTTCAGTGAGTTTTGTGTCAGAGATGCAATTCCAGAGAGTAATATAGTGTTTCATCATACAGGGAACTTATTGTCGGAAGGAAGGCCGTGAATTGTTGGATCATTCGTGTTGTTAGCAATGCAATTGGCAGCCCACTTGGCTGCGTGTGTTTAGGACAGGCCTAGGCCTGCGCCCAGCGATCTTGACCAAGCTCCAGTATGACAGTCCTTCTAACGGCTGAGGAATCTAAACATGGTTCGGTGCAAACGGAAGCCCTCCTACTCTGTAGAACATGACTGCGTCCGTCGAGCGCTCGTTTCTAAAAGCTTTCGAACCGGACGCTTTCCCTTTCCTTAATATACACCTATGGTCAAGCTACTCATCTGTAGTAAGACAACATCGCGAAGCCCTCACGATTGAGACAATTGCAACTCTTTGACAACCTGCGGTAACTCGCACGTGCAACATCCAGCTAGGTGCACAAGATCATACATACCCGCTCTTCGTTGCGGATCGAGCTAATTTAGGTGCTTGAAAGGTACGGCTGACGACACTTTGAGGTACTGAATGCGAATGGCGCCGAGTATATACTCGGGCAGCTCTGTCTCCTCGTCCTCACCCTGCGGAAAGCTTGTAGCGTTACGGCATCTTCTTGTCTCAAGATCTGCTCTCGTCCGAAACAGCAAGTAAAGCATGTGGAAGCAAATACAAGTTCAGTCCTCATGCGACAAGAGACGAAGAATAACAGACTGACAGATTTGAGTGGAGGCGCAGAGTAAATCCGCAAACAACGCACGGCTGGTACCCAGATCCGACCTCAAAGGCGTCTTCTCACACCCAAGACTGAGATAGGCGGGTATCGAGGCAGCATCCACAGACAAGCGAGTCGGAGCAGACGTTGCTCGTCAGGATTTGTGGTCAATGAGTGTCCTCGTCCGCTTTGGTTCTGAAAGACCGATAAGCAATTTCGCATACCAATGGTCTCAACCATGAAAAACATCCCAGATTCGTTCACAAGAAGACAACGAAAGCTTCTCTTGGATCAATGAATCAACCCGCGCGGCGGGTTTGCATTTCATTTCGTGTCTGCGTGCAAAGGACATCCTGGAGCTGTTTGTCTTGTAGTTGTAGACAGGCCGGCTTTGATCCCCCGCTGCTCACCTGTATCAGTACCGCGAGATCGACTACGAGTCCTGTGACGTATCCAATCACGAGCCCGACGATGTTTCTTGCCACCGAGGAGGACCCAATGTCGACATCCATCTGCAGCGAGGTGACGCATGGAAGAGCTTCGTCAGAGATAGCGGCACGCGACTTACGGGGCTCTCTACAGAACCGAGGAATGTAGTGTCAGATTTTGTATATCCGCGCTTTTCAGGAGGTATAAGTCCAGATTGATTGGCAAAAGCTTCTATGGAAGGAGCAAAAATAAATCTGTTGAGGACGTTGATTTACTACTGGTCTGGCGAGTGAAATCCAGATGGGCGGCGGCGGATGCAGAGCACCTCAAGAGCACGCAAGGGCTCGCACAAGAAGCTTACACAACACTCTAAGCGTCAGTCACACCGGCTTCAATCGTTCCCCGCAGTCGTTGGCAATGAGTCCAGGACAAGGGATGATTATTCTAGATTCCAGGCTCCCTACGACCGAAAACTCGCCTCAGGCAGACCAACAGTCACGGCGGAGGAAACACGGACACAGCAGTGTTAGCAGTCAGCCGGAAAGATGTTAAGAGCCAGGATCAAACTCTAGCACGAACCGGCGCTTACTTCGAGATAGTTGTCCTGACGATGCCACGTGCAAGTCAGGGCCTGCCCCAGTAGGCACGCCTTGCTGCCCACCGCGCGCTTTATCAAAAAGGGGCCCTGAGAAAATGACAGAGAGAGGTTCAAGATCAAAGGGGTTTGAAAGTTGGAATTATGCTGGCCTTCCAATTTTAAAAAAGGCAGAATCAAGCGGAGAGGAGTACTAGGACTTCGATCGTACAACTCCATGCCATGCATCTATAGAACGTCAAGCTGTCCTGATCAACTGTGCGCTCGAGTGACTGTTATCCACGGGGTATCGAAAGCGAATGTGCGCGGGCTGGTCGGGTCTCGAGCAGTCGGAAGTTGATTGTAGCGCCTAGCTGATGGCCATCGTTTCCATTCCTTACGCCGCATAAAATGCTAAGCCGGCAAGCTCATGCGTGGGCTCAGCAGAAAAGTCGTTTCAAGGAAGCGTTCGCAGAATGCGAAGCTACCACTTCGTGCTTCCAAGCCGCTCTAATCCTGGAGCTCCTATCGAAGCTCACCGTTTCTATGCTGGGTATCAATTTGAAGCGGCGGTTCCGGAAGTTGTCGTCTCCGTTGGCAAACTTGTCCAGAAGCGACCCCGAGGCAATGTGCCGGTCGGAAACGAAGTACATGGCCAGGCTGCGGCAAGGGCTGCCGGGAACCTGTCGGTTGAAAGCTCCGGCCGTGAGGGGTGACTCGAAAAAGCAGATGTCTTTAAGATGAAAACAGTGGAAACCATTCGAAGAGTGCCATCAAAGCAACCGCGATGCTATGCAATGAGAGTCCAAATTTTGTGCACCAGACAACGCATTGTCTCGACTGTAGTGCACGAGAGTCACTTTCTTTTATGGAAAAAATCATGTCGTAACGCCGAACCGCTTGATAGTAGGTTGCAACGGCACATATCACCAGACTCCGCTACTGTTGACCAGCCTAATATCAAAAAATGGCGGAGACTCTAGCCAAGTGACGTAGACAACATGGAGGAGAGTGGTCTCGAACACCTCAGTCGCAGTGATTGCGGAGAGAATGACAAACGCCTCAGTTCGGGAATGTGTTCCCCCCAATACTGCCCGCAAACGAGCATCCGGAGCTGGCGTCAAGGGAGTGATTTGGCAAACGCTTAAACAGGGGGATGAGACGTAGATGCGTCACTAACCTGGAGATTGATCACAAACACGAAAGGCATCTTCTTCGCCTCGGCACCCTGCACAGCACAGCAAAGCACAACGTGAGATGAGCGACAGTGCCTGACGTAGTACATCTGGTTGCCAATGAACCCGTTCAGTTGTTGGTAGGAGGTGAACCCCGGGCAGATCATGGACAGCCAGATCCCAGCCCTTTCGACACAAGAAGATTGCAACTGATTCAGATAGCAAGAACGGTATTCATGAAGGACGGATCAACGACAAGCTGAGCGCAATGTACACATTTCTACACCAGGGGCGTGAAGGAGCGTTAATATCAGCCGTGGCACCACATAAGAGACTTACTGCTCTAAAATTGCACTTGGTGAAGACGTCTCAAGATGGAACCTACTCTGCACCTTTTTTGTTCAACCAAGAGCATTCCGCTGAACGAACAAGGTTCCTCCATGTGACCACCTCTAAGCCTCTTCTCTCGAGCTCCCTGCTTTGCCGGAAACATGTAGCAACCGACGAAAACACAGAACACGAAAGTCTGGTCGAAATACAAGCACGATTACCGCACCTGCATGCAGCTAGACGGGCTCTGCGCGACATTATCCATGCGGCGGCTGCTCTCGAACCAGTCGACTGCGAGCAGCTGAAGCAAGGGCTCACCGCCCTTAACCTGCGGGGGAAGGCAAAACGCTTTGAAGAAGACCTTGCAACGGTTTCCTCGCGGTGACTTTTCCTTACGTGGTGCTAGACCAGGAAGCCGTAGTGCTGAAAAAGACAGAAGGCCCCTTTAACGAGGGCGCATGGCACAACAAGAGTCTCCGAGACTCATTACACAGTTAGAAAGTCCGGCGGACTTGGGCGGTGCGTGTAATTTCAGGTTGAGAGGCACTAGAAGGAAGGAAGAGACCCCAAGACCATTTAACGAATAAAACAAATACAAGAAAGAGTGTCAAGATGCCGCCCCTTGACACAGTCTTTGTCATAAATCGTGCACCACTGAGTGCACTTCTATCTGCCGGTAAACAACTTCCAGCTGAAAAAAATGAGCACCACAAAGCGGCCCCAATCACCAGGTCGACTTGACGCCTCACCTTGACGCCATCCTTGCGATACGTCTTCCCCCGGACCTTGAACTGCCCCCCCGAGGGCACGCTGAAACAGTCCTTGGTTCGCGCGCCCGATAAGCGGGGCACGCTTCCCGTGAAATGAGACGGCGCGTACGGGACGGGTGGCCCACGCAGTTGGGGCAGGCCGTCTTTCGGCAGGCTGGATTGGGTGCGGTGCAGGGCGATCGCGGCAAAGGCAGCGTATTTGAAGCTTGCGGGCCTCTGCAAAAAGAGTGCTTTGAATCAGAAAAACAGAAGTTACGAGAACTGAGAGCTCGAGATGGGAATCCGGAGACACTTTCGACTGAGGAGCGTTTTGTTGATAGAGCCTGCTGATGTCGCATGCATGTGATTGGTTCCGCTGCTGTTGTGTCTCTAAGATCAATCTCTACTGGCAAGGAGTCGAAAAAACAGAGGAGTGGTAAGTAGGTTCACTAACTCCGACATTGCTGCTGTTGTCTCTCAAGATCGGTCTCCATTAGCTCAAGCTCCGAGAAAACAAAAAACGATTAAGTGAGTGAACTCAATCTGAGATCAAACTATCCCTCAATCCTGACACCAAGAGTGCGGTTCTAATGCATCCATCAAAATCCGAGCCAGATTTGAGGCCGCCGATTGAAAGGGACAACCTTTATGCCTCACTCTCTTGTTTCCGAATGCAGAACATTCCCAGCTTCCACTCAGTTGCGCCCTCACCTTGATGACGTGTCCCGCAATTGAGTCCTGCGGCTCCTCCGCATCGTAGTAGACTTCCTCCATCTGGAAGAAGGGGTCCTTTTTGCTGCTGTCCGGCGTCGTCGGTGCGGACACGTGGTCGGACGAGCGGCGGACGGTCGACTGGACGGTGGCGCCCGCGGTCGGCTCGAACGCCTCCTGGGGGTTCGCCAGAAAATGCTCGCGCATCCCTGCGGGGAAACAAAGAACTCGGTTGATCTATCCAGCACGTACGACACAGGATGAAGCAGATCTTGGTACCTGAGGGCCTCAGATCTTGCACAGTAGCGATTGTGCATGCCTGTAGCCGGGAGAAAACGAGTCCTTTGACTGCTTGTACAAGCTCAGTACTTCGAGCAATCAGTACTTTGCACAAGATATCCCAACAATTTAGAGAAGGCTTCAAAGCCCCCACGAAAGTGTGACAAAGTGCTTCCGCACGCAGGTGCACACCGCAGGTGTCATATTGAATAGTTGTAAAAGTTGGAATGAGCACTTTCAGATTATCGGCGCTTCCGTTGTGAGCTATGATGGATACATGAGCGGTGCAAGCGTATGAGCCTGAGATGTTGAATCCGTTCCGACAACCATTAGACTCCCTTGAAGTTTTCAGCGTGTTCGAAAAAAACGAAGACGGAACCCAAAAGATGACCGGATGTCATAAACAGCAGCTTCGTCTTTGTCGTTTTAAAGTTTGAGAAGGGGTCACAGATTCGTAAACGTGTTTTGCCATCTTGATACGACGCCTCGCCAACGGGGGCAGTGTTGTGTACCATTCACTCCGTTAGAAGACTTCGGTGGACCTGGCTTGCCGTCTGCTTGGCTGAAGGATGGGTTTCCCTAACCTTCCAGCTGATTGGAAGGTTCTCGTGAGTAGAAACATGTCCGGCAAACAGTCTGCGATTGGGCGGGTTGCTCCAGGAAGCTTCCTACCTTCAAAACCTGGACCCCGCTTTCAATTCTGCCCCTATAAATTCTCGGACTTCCGTCTCCCCTCCAGAAAACCAGTATGAAAACAGGCCAAAATCGAGAGCGGATTCTCACCGGCCACTCTGGTCAGTAGGCGCATTTGCGCCTCCGCTCCGAACTTCTTGTAGAACCTCGCCTTCCAGCCCAGAAGGTCGATGCCCACCAGATGCTCGCACAGCGACCGGGGCTCGTTTGTAACAGGGTGGGGGGGGAGCGGAGTGATCTCCCAACTGAGGACTGCACAGAGGGGAGGAACAAGCGGAGTTTAAAAAATCGGTTCCTTTTATGGTTGACGCCCCAAGCAGGGAGTCGCGGGAGGAATCGTTTTCACTCTTGTGATTGGCAGAGAAGCTCGAAGCTGACAGGGAAAAGTATCTACCAGATTTTCCGTTCCTATCGTTGCTTCCGCTCGGAATTTCGAAAAAACGGTTCCTTTCCTGAATAAGGCCCCAAGCAGGGAGTCGCGGGAGGACTCGTTATCACTTTCGTGATCGGCAGAGAAGCTCGAAGCTGCCAGGGAAAAGTATCTAGACCAGATTTTTCGTTTCTATCATTGCTTCCGCTCGTCAATCCTGCTCGATTGATGTGAGTCAGACCCAGGAGCTTAAGCTGGGTCTCCAGAAACCACAAATCTCGCCAAAACTTTTGACAGGCATGGATGGAGGACGCAAAAGGAAGTCGAGACTTACTGGAGACTTCTTTGCAGCGGACGAAGTCCTTTCCCGGCTTGCATTTGTCGTTTTCTACGGAATGGTACAGGATTGCTGCACAAGAAGCAAAGCATCCGGTCAGTATTAGCAGCTTCGAATCCATCGGACAAGTGCTCCGAGAGCCGAGTTGTAAACAAGCCGCAGGTAGTCACCTTCCATCGATTTAGAATCTGACATCCCGGATTCGACTGCGCTTTTCACTTACCTGGGTTATAGCCAAAGAAGTCTACAGTTGACTAACCGGGACTTCGACTCTCAGGAGAGCTGTTCTCCATTTTTTAAAGACGTTGCCTTGAGCCATGCAATATTTTAAACTTGAGACCACCACTCCACCGCTGAAATCAAACCTCAAGGCAGAACATCCGACGCGGTATAAACCTAAGGACGCACATACGTACTGCTCCAAGCTCCAGTCAGGAAGGGCTGAGCCCCAAAAATTAGATCAGACTCCGCTTCCTTACCGTACGCCCCGTCAGGGTCTCTTCGCCAATACCGCGCGAGGCAGAAGTCACGTGTTGAAGGAGGGGCGGGAAGATTTTGGGCTCCATGACGGCGTGCACAACGTCCGTGTGCCCGTCGATGATCTCGACAGAGCTCCAGTCCCTCAAGACTGGGTCAAAGCTGGAAAGGAAAAAAATCTTCAAAATCCTCTAAAGTTTTCAGAAATGAGACAGAGATTGAGAAAAGCAATTTTAGGATGTGACCGTCAACGGGTTTGAGCGTACGAAGAGCGCCAGAACTTAGATCCCAACAGAATCTTACAAATGGCTCATAAGTGGTAGGAGTGGACTCTGAAAAGCGATTTGATGCATCATCGACGATTTCGTTTTGACGCAAGACGAACTCGGGATTGTCGTCTATGTTGGCCCTGAAGATAGGCTTACAAACTGACAGGTGCACGTAATTAGCAACCATGAGCAAGCCGAGTCACCTTTTGGATGCGCATCTAAGAGACTTGGCACTTTACTGATACCACAAGTCCAGGCTCTCTACTCAAAAAGAGCAGGACGCAACTCAGGCAAGGCGCTGAAACCAGCAGGTTTTAGTACGAGAGGTGTCGCTGCTTGTATGCATTCATGAAGGCCTCGAGATCGAGCATGGCACAGGTCAAAAATTTGTTCGAAACAGCAGCGGCTGCTCGGAAAGCGATCAGCCTCTAGTTTTCAGCAATGTGTGTGACAAGGGCAATTGCTGCCGACTGGAGTGCTTACTCACTTGTGCGTCCTCTTACCCAAGCTCATCGCCAACTGAAAAATGTTCTCAGCGGGCGCTTCGATCACACCTACGGCCTTCAGCACCGGATGCGTCGACTGCAGAGAAGAAGAAGGGAACGCATATCTGCAGGTTGATCCTTTCTTCGTGGACTTGATGGCAATATCGCTATCTGTACAAATTGAAGATAGACAGTCGCACGATTTGGCGAACCAGCAATGATGCAAGGGGCTCGACAAGACTTCATGTCCACCAGTGTTTGTGACGCTTGCTCTGAATTCAGAACAGGAGTAATTTACCGCCCTGTTGCGCCTCATGTATTGCGCATCTGAGAGCCGAACACTTGCTCTGAATAGGATGTACGATGAGGGAGGCAAAGAAGCAAAAGGCTGCAAGAGGGAGCTCCCCACCTTCAAATCCGAGTCATCCTGGTAGATTCGCAAACCTGCCGGAGAGTTTGGATCACGTCATTGGATTGACCGAGTAGGTTTCCGAAAAGAGCAACCTAAAAGGATCATTCAAAGACAGCCGATCGAGGACCTGGCAATGAAAGAACAATGCCAATCGACAAGCGACCTTCTATGGCCTTTCCGACACGTTTTAAGCGACTCCGTAGTTCCTTTACTAGAGATGGCGTCGATCGACTCCTCACCGTTTTCGAGTTTGAGGAGGCGCCAGTCCCCGCCAGAAAAGGCGTCACCGATGTCGAAGCCCGCCTCTTGGAGGCCCTCGATAATCGCTTGGTTCTTGAAAACTGCTGGCACGCCTATACGAAGTGCAACCTCTTCAAGATATGCACTTATCTCGTCAAACGTTCGTGACTTTGAAAAGAATCCAAAAGAATGAAAGCACGAAGAGGTAATGTAAAATGAGTCGACGAACGAAGTACTTGGCAGAATAGTGCGTTTTCGATAATACAACATGACTTGCCACGTTCAGATTCTTGATTGTTTTTCAGGCATCCTCGTTGGAAGTGCCATCAACATGTCCGTCTTGAAAAGAAGCACCTAACGTGCGTATTGTAGCTTTTATCAAGCTAATTACTGCAAATTTCAAATCGGAGCCTGGACGAAGGGTATTAAAGAGAGCCGCAAGTAAAACGGCGACGGAAAAGCTGAGTGAAGGAGTCAAAGACGCCTGCAAATGACGTGATACTTTGCCGTCAGCATGTTCAGTTTGTGCTACTGACCTAGTCCGATGCTGGCTAGCCTCGACAAGCTCTTTCTCGGTCCGTCTTCGAAGTCGTCTGCAATTCCGTCTTCTCTGACCAGCCTGCACGGAGGCCATAACAGCGGTTAAGTTTTGGATAGAACGATTATGCCCGTTCCGCCCGTCGATTACTGCGAAGCTTTCACGACTTTCATCCAGAATTGAATGGCTACCTCAGATGAAACTTTGATCAGAGGGCTCTGATTTCCATCAAAATTTCGACGCTGATTCTCGCTAACACGTTCAGAACCTGTGACCAGAGAAAGGTCACACTACTTTTCTTCAACCCCGATCGGGAATGGAAATTTTGAACGTTCATTCGGGTCAGGCCAAGAGTCAGTTGTTCTGAAACTGAAGAACGAACCAAAGTGATAGTCGTGAGATATAATAGGACTACAACTACAATGAGATATCCGTGTTGCCAAGGAGACAGAAAGCAGACTATTGAATGGGCAGTGTGAAGGGTGTCTTACTGCTCTTCACGAGCCTCCGCATCTTTAGCCGACTGTATAGCCTGCAAGGACAGGGACGTTCCAAGTGCCTCAATATCCGGTACGACACATTCTTGTTCGTTGCTAGACGATGATTGGAATAGGAATCGATCACAAATAGAAACTCCTTTCAGCAAGTGATGTACTTGACTGAATAGAAACTCTTCTCTGGAACTTCAGACTGGGTCAAACTTTCTTTTCTGGGACTTCGGAAGAGAACCAACGACTTCATAACATCGTGTTTCCAGAGAGGGGCAGCGTAGAGAGTTCCCTCCACCACAAGGCTTGTCAAAACCCTCTTCTCTCTCCAGAGTAGGAAAGGAAACCCCCTCACTGAGAACATTGTTATGTAACTGTGAGCGGGCGCACAGGTTAATCCTGGATACAAATTGCGGTTCGGTTCCTTGGCAAGAGGGGAAGGCGGATGGAGAAGCATGAAGAAACGCTTACAATGTCTCGCGCATGCTCCAGAGCATTCAGCCATTTCGAGACTTCTTCCACGGAGCCAGCCCCAAGCTGCAACAAGGAGCACAACTTCTTCGTCTAGCACTGGCCGGTTTTTAATCATATAGTGTGGTGCCACTTCAAGGTTCGTGATTGGGTGCTTCTTGATTGGTAGTGGTGTTCAGGTGCAGTGGATTGGAGCACCGAGATGGATGATGCAGGCAATCGGCAATCTCTGTTAGGTTGCAGCTAGGCAGTCTGCTTTGATCTGACGTCTCAGTTTGCAGTCACAAAGCAGGCAAAAACATGTAGGTAATCAGGCTTGTCCTTCTACTGCGCAGCCTCTCAGGCGCCGACTGATGGTGATCACATTGAATCATGAAAAGTACCTGTCCGTTGATGGCATGGTTGACAGCACTGTAGAGCCGCAAGCCATACAGGCAGTGGCCGTCCACCACCTGCCTGCCAAGCTCTTCCCAGCGGGTGTATGGGCCCATGTTGCCATGGAAGAGCGGCTTCTGCACAGTGAAAGAACAGGCTTCTTGTCTGCCAAGTAAGACTCTTTTGCACAATGTCAACGCGGGTTCTCAAGTGAAAATAGCTGTTCTGGAAACCAGTTGGAAACATGTCAGAGGTTTCAGAAGGCTTCAAACATGAAGATGTTCCTGAAGGTGCTTTAAGCACGGGACTGAAGGTCCTGTTGCCCAGGCTTAACTCAGACCTGAGAAACTGCGTAGAAGGACTACACATCCTTGCACATAAAAGCGAAAGAAAATCTGGTGCCTGTTATTGATATCAGTAAGAACGATTATGAGAAGCATCGCAGATCTTTATAAGGTAAAGAAGAATTTGAGAAAAGAGGTTTGTGCACCTCATCATGTGCCTGCTCGGGGTCTTCATTGTAGATTGAAAGTGACCTCCCTTCCAGAACTACAAACCTGGACAAGGAAGGATGTGTTTATGCGGAAAGCCACTTTCAAGAAAGGCACTTGCTCTTTTCAAACTTCCTGAAACTGTGGTACAATGGACTTTGCGCTTCCGCCGCCATCACAGGCTTTGAATACCTTGACGTTGTTTCCAAACCACCGGCAGATAGTCACTTGTTCGCGTTTCTTTTTGAGAGTTCGATGTTTGTCCTGAGAAACGAACTGCTTGCACCTCAGGAATCACTCACATCCCTGTCATTGCAGTAAGAACTTATACAAGGTATTGACTCCCAATGTCCAGATGCTTGGTTCTTATGATTAGGCCATAAGTTCAGTAACAAGAACAGAAAACCTTGGCAAGCTTGGTGAACACCCTTCAATCTTGAACAATCAAACTTATCCGATGATGGTGGCGCTGATTACTGGTAGTATCATTTGAAGTTACTTGTAACACAGCAAAAGAAATCTTCTTAACCAAAGCAGCTGCGACGCACACTTTGTCTTGATCCGAGGTGCTGAATTGTTGCATCCGATCCTTCCCAAGGATTTGTTGCGTCACTCAAGCAAGAAGCTTCTTACGTTATGAGGAGCTCAACAGAACACATGCTCACCTCGGGTTGCAGTATCTTTTTCCATTTTTGTTCTCACCAAAGTGCATAAGCCACCCTGTCGTCCGCAGACGCGAGAGCCCCATTGGCTATTCAACTTCTTCCACCACCACAACCTGATGATTACAGCGGAGGCATTCCGCAGCGAGGTCTTCTTCTCTTTGATGTTTCTTGCGAAGCCAGAAGAAAGTCAGAATTTGGAGGCGGAGATTATAGAGAGGCATGCCACCATGCGAGGGAGTTCCCGAGAAATGTAATGTACACAATGCCACCATTGGCATTGCAAATGATGACGTGCTCTCGCATTGATTGTTGTGATATTGGACAACTAGGAAGGGCGAGATGCACATGTATATGGATGGCAATGCGAGAGCTGCTGCCGTCCATTCCATTACGCTGTTTCGATAGCTCAGCCGTCGATGGCATCGAACGCAGTTCCTGCGAAAGTCAATCAGCTGTACTGTTGATGTCAACACTGTTGACATTTCAGCGAGCTGTGCAGCTTCTGCACTGCTTCTGCA